ATGTGCCAAAAAGCAAATCTTCCATCTAAGAGCTAAAGCACTGATTGAAAATGTCCAGCCATTGTGGAAATATGACATTGACTATAATGCTTTCAAACTAGAGGAGAGTCTAACAGATAATTGACATAATTAAGGCCGTTTGGAAGCAATGTCCGGATTAGTTTTTAAATTCTAGTTAAAGAAATTTTGCCCTTGTGTAAAGGTCATTTATTTTGAATCAACTAATATTTATTGAGTATCAATTATGTGTTAAGGGCTTACACAAAGCTTTTTGTATGTAAACGTCACACCACCTTTTAAGATATCGGAGTCAGAGAACTCACATCGCTGTCCTAAGATCGCACAATAAAATGGGAAACCTGGAACTTAACCCTGGACTTTTGGATTCCAAGTCCAGGTTTGCTGCACAACATTTCACTAGAGATAATAGATTTTGATTCATTATAAAGAGAATATAAAGCTCTGTCACGTAGTGCTTAACAAACATAACAGGATAACATTTATAATAATTTGGCCCATTTAATGGAAAGTCCTTATTATTCAGTGTAACAATGGGGTTGTGTTTGTCTTGTAAGGAAGAATCATCCTATAAAAGGAGGAAACATCAGGCGACGTCTATGTGAGATACAACTTCAAGAGGTACCACAGGGAATTCTAGTGTCCCCCTCCCCACCAGCAACTCTCTTTCTCTTTTCAGCAATATTTGAAGTTCCATCATTTTAAATGCATTATTTTGTAGAATCACATTGTATGGATTAAAACTTCCCGTGGGTCTTGGTGCTCATTCAGTTAAGGTGACATAGAGGTTAGCTTACATTCCAGCGTAGGTGGACTGATACTTTGTAATGAGTAGAATTGTGAAGACATGTCCAGGCTGAGAAGACTCAGTTGTCAATGTCAGTTAAGGGAGGGGGCAACAGTGTTAGTTCAGCCATAGTAGTTAGTCGTAGTTAAGTAAAACCAGATTTGATTCATCACAGCTACATTAAGCTACAGAACCACTAACACTTCAGTGTGAATTTATCTGATGACTTTCTTAGCACTCAGAAGAAGGGAAGAAGGAAGAGAAAAAATAATTCTGAAGCTAGAGCTAGGAAAATCATATAACACTGGATACCAGTGGACTTTTGAGAACAAAGAGGGAGTGTCTATCAATAAAATGCCAGGACAATATATGTAGCTATGACTGGATGGTATGGTCATCTGAGCTCTGGGGAAAGAAAGTCCCTCACTGATAAAAATTTATATTAAGGAGTTCCTCCTTCAAATAAGTCCACCAAAGTCTTTTTTCCTGATGATATTTTTTTTCCACAGTTATGGCTTCCACAGTGACCATATTTTCCCAACAGCAACAAGAAGCTGAAGCAATTACACCTGGGTTGGATTCCCAAAACCCTTAGAGATTTACTATGATGCACACAGATTCCATTCAATTTGCAACTTTTTCAGAAGCCAATTATCCAACGAATGCATTACCTTCTGGACCCTTGCTTTATTTCTTCCACTGGTTATTTTAACAATATGTCATCTCTGATAAGGAAGTTTGATGGGGAAGAAGATGAAGCTATTACATGAAATGAGTTTGGGGAATTACCGATAGATTTCAATGATCTGTGCTACTCTGATTGAAGTCTGATCGACTGTGAAGAGTGGTGATTCAGCTGGACAGCCTTGCTATTTCTAAGATAGAGAGAGAGCTGTCCTCGTTCCATTTGCTACTTTTGTACAGAACATACATTATATGTCCATTTATGAACATACAGATCCTCATTTCTCCAGTCCTGTTATCTGTGATTAATACAATTAAAAACACTTAAATCAGTTTGCAGTAATACATACCAATACAATAAAGGCATGAAACTCAATATTCATGCATTTCATTGATGGCCTATGCTCTTGATGCAAAGAAGAAGAAACACTGGAGAGCTAGTTTTTTGAAGGCAAGGAAAACAACTGTAGCCCATATGGTGTATGATGTGTGGCACACACGGCTACTAACCACCTTTAAATGTAATTATTATGTAAGCTTAAGAGAATATTTAAAATGAAAACGCCACACTAGGAATATTAGAAAATTACTGCCATCACACATAGGTGCTGACTTCTCCTGCCTTAATTTGTAGCAACTTTTCCTAAATTTGGTTGGATATTCTCTTCACTCATTCAAACCTTAATCATGCTTCAAAGTCCAAATTAAGATCCGCTCATCTTTCAGGTCCAGGCTCTCTGTGCTTAACTATTAATACCCATAATACTCAGTTGTTACTTAATTTATATTATCTTGTGATATCACTGCATAGTCATTTTACATAATTATTTAACTTATGAATTATTGCTTGACTTTTCACATGAGAATCCAGTATTATTATCTCCCAAGCTAGACTGTAAATTCTTCAAGAGAAGGGGCCATTTGTGATCTATCCTTGTGTCTCTCCTCAAGACTGAACATAATTTTAAATGTATTTAGTTTGGAACTGTATGAAATTACCTTTATTTGATCAAATTTGATCCATTAAAAGTCAATTTCTTATGGTTCAACCTACTCATAGTTGCTCTAGAAATAATTGTGGAAAAAGTAGAATTAGATTTAAAACTTTAATTTCATATATATATATAAATTCATATATATTTATGGCCTAAGATCACACAATAAAATGGGAAACCTGGAACTTAACCCTGGACTTTCGGATTCTAAGTCTAGGTTTGTCACACAACATTTCACTAGAGATAACAGATTTTGATTCATTATAAAGAGAATATAAAGATCTGTCACGTAGTGCTTAACAAACATAACAGGATAACATTTATAATAATTTGGCCCATTTAATGGAAAGTCCCTATTATTCAGTGTAACAGTGAGGGTTGTATTTGTCTTGTAAGGAGGAATCATCCTATAAAAGGAGGGAACATCAGGCGACGTCTATGTGAGATACAACTTCAAGAGGTACCACAGGGAATTCTAGTGTCCCCCTCCCCACCAGCAACTCTCTTTCTCTTTTCAGCAATATTTGAAGTTCCATCATTTTAAATGCACTATTTTGGAGAATCACATTGTATGGATTAAAAATTCCCATAGGTCTTGGTGCTCATATATATATTTATATATATATGAATAAATATATGTATGAATATATTCATATATATATGAAGTCATTTAGAATAGATGATTGAGTCTTGGTTTCATTTTTTCTAGTAGATATCAAGTGCCAAATAGCTCTTTTTAGTTCAGTAGTTTCCAAATATGACTTTTAAAAAATGAATATAAATACCTCTCTTCTAGGGAGATAAGTGTAACTGAGATAGCAGATCATAAAATACACTCTCAGCATGGTAATGTCAATATTGAATTTTTTCTGGCACTGTTTTCTTGCTGATAAAATCATTCTGTAGAATAATATTAGTCATAGGTGATCTTTATTTTGAGGGCTTACAATATGCCAAGCACTGTTCCAAATATGTCACATTTATTAACTTACTGAATCCTCACCTCAACCCTGTGAAATGGGTAATATTATCATCTTCTATTTTCAGATCAGCAAATTGAGGCATGAAGAGGTCATTTGCTTCAGATCACACAATTAGTAATGATAGAACTGGATGTCAAATTCAGGCAGTGTGGCCTCAATCCTTCTTTTAAGTACAACAGGGATTCAAATCAATAAAAAATAATTATTTTAAAATTAGAGTAAATTAAAAATTATTTAGTCGTATGAAAGATCTAGCATCTGGTGAACACTTTCTGATTTAGAGTTACAGAGTTGAATAGACAATACATAGGGTTTGAAAACCTGCAGCTTTAGTTCTTTCATAAGTAATTCAAAATCACTTTGACTTATAATACTTCAGTGTTTTGCATTAAAAACTGGAATTTATAGCACTGACTCCTCTATAAGAATTTTATAAAAGAAGAAAGAATAGGATCATATAATACATTATAATAAGAACCCTTAGTTAATCAGACAGGCTCATTTTTATATTTTGTTATGAATATATGCACACAAATACTTTTATAAAATTATGTTTAATGTTATTTTTTATTTCAATGAATGTTCTCTAATGCTGATATTTGTTTTCCTTGGTACTTGAAAACTACAAAATTGCACAAGCAGAGAATACATAAGGCTGCTTAACTGGGTACAGATATATACATAATATACAATGTACATTATGTATACATAAGTACATATACATATACACATATACAATAAGTTTAGTAAAAGAATTCGTCTTAATTTATATCTCTAAGTACTTTTTATAATTTAACTTTTTTTTATGGTAAATGAACTAATCCAATGTGATTTCCCCTAAGTTTTCATGGAAAGAAACACACTTTCCTCTGGACTTTAATATCAAATAGTACAAAAGAATTAGATGGGGAACTCGGCATTTTGTTTTAAATTTTGGGACCTCCAGTTGGATTGTCTGGAAAAATGAGACAGTTAAATCAGATGATTTTATGTTGTTCAAGTGACAACTTTCTGCAAGTGTCTTAAAGCAAGGTTTACTTATCAGTTCTAAAGTCTATATTCCAGAAAAAGCAATTCTGTTTCTCCTAAAAAAATAACCAAGCTTACCTTTCCATTTAAGAAAAGAGCAAAAGGAGAACCTCCAGGAATCTTTCTTAGATACAGACTTAGGAGCTTAATATAATAAGCTGAGCTATTCAAAACTCGTGAAGATTTTTCTAAAAGGAGTTTCAAGAAGAAATGGTTGCCCATGGCTAAGTGTGGGAAGAGATACTAGAAGAGGTTGGAGATATAGGTGTGGTGTTGGAGGCTTAGTATGTTTTAATCAGGCATTTATGAAATGCTTGAGTTTTCTGATCATTTCCAGGAATTACATTTCTAATGTCATCAGAGGGTTATCCTGGAAAGCAAATTGTGGGTGATTGTGTCATTTGTTTTAGTTGCTGTTTCTGCTTTAGAAAAAGTACTTGAAAAATCAAACTAAACTAGTGTTCAAGTTCAGTCGGAGAGAAGAGTGGTGTTAGGCAGGGTTACCTTCTTACATGCCTTGATGGAGCTACCCAGGCTACTTCCGGAGCTGCCACCAGCGCTGCCCTGCTGTGCTTCCGGAACCTCATACATCAGGGGTGACTCCAAGTTGCTGCTCGTGCCCCAAAACACAAAAAGAGAACACATTCCAGTGAGTCATCTACATATTCTGAAAAGAAGAAGCACTATGTTGTCTCTAGAGAAGCAGCACATTTGCTGCTACAGAATGAGGCAAAGATGGCAGGAACACAAAACTCATGTATTTATTAAAATGAGTTCAAATTGACATTAAAAGAACTTCTGTCAAGATACAGTGCAGCCTTATAACTGGCTCCTAACGCATAAGGCTGCAGATACCTCCCTGGGACATTTTCCTTTGATTTTGACAAGTGTTGACAGTATTTATTAAGCACATCCTTTCAGACTGATTTCATGCTGAAACTGCTAAATGCGTTTCAATGAGGAGGAAGATCAAGGTGGGAGAGAAGATACAAAAGCAGAATTTAAAGTAGTGACTTTAAAAATATTACAGGAAGAGAAGGAGACTCTCTTGCAGAACACTGTCATATATGAATGAGGTTCTGAGTTTCCATCATACCACAGTCACTAATGATTCATGCAGTGTGAATAAGTAGGTCACCACCAGTAGTGAAAATGGCTTAGGGAATATTCAGTTATTTCACCAGAGTAAAGTGTCCAGTTACTGGAAATCAAGTTGTCTGTATGTTGCTACTTAAGGTTTGGTCTGTGAACAAGCAGCGTTGATACTGCTTGGAAACTTGTTAGACACCCAGGAGATCAAGTTCCACCCTGGAACTACTGAATCAGAATCTTCACTCTGATATCAAACTCAGGGGATTCATATGCCCATTGAAACTTGATAAGCATGTATTTGACATATTAAACTAAATATGTGCTCCCTTTTGCCCCTGAGCCATTGCACATGATATTACTTCTTTTAGAAACATCCTTCCCAGGTCCCCTCCCTCCTCCTGGGTGATTCCTACTCTATCCTTTGGGTCTTTATTTATAAATCATGTCTTGCATCTCCCTCCCCCCTTCTCTCTGCCAAAGAGGCCATGACTCCTCTCCAGTGCACGCATTGCCCAGTGCACACACAAATGCACACACTCTCACCTCTCCCCAACTCACATATTCCCACCCTCAACCTGACTCAAGAAATGAGATAGACACTCTTCTTGTGTGTTCCAACAGCACTCTGAACCTTGTCCTGCTATAGCCTTTGTCAAAATGATATATAATTATGTGGTGTTTGTCTCCCCATTGAGTCTCTAGGTACTGGAAGAGCAGGAGCCCCTTAGGACCGAGGGTGGAGCTAGGCAGGGATGGATGCTCAGTTAGTATTTATTAATGTTGTTTGTTCTTATCTTTCTGAGCATCCTGGCTGACCTCAAAAGATTATGCACAAAAGGGTATTTGAATTTGATGCTAATTTTTTTGCAGTGGTGACAGATGGTGAGATAAGCCACATCCGAGAAGATAATTTAAAGGATTTCCCGGGATAGTTCTAACGAAAAGGGATCCTGCTGCTATTGTTGCTAAAGAGTCAAGTAAACACAGTGAAAGTGAGACAATTTTAACAGATTCTAAGAGGTAAGATTTATTCTTACCTTCTCCTCACTTAAAGAATGCTTTCAGTCAAATACAGTAATTACCAGTGGTCTGATTGTTTCAATTCTATTAAGGATATCTACTCTTGAGTTTTATACTAAATCCTTTAATCTTGACACTGAAAAGAAAAATAAAAGCTCACATCTATCAGAAGAGGTTTTGAGCAAGGTATCAAGTTGCTCTAGTTAAAGACACTTTAAAAACATGCCACAACCTAGAATTTAGAGGGTTTTAAACTACACATTTGTGTAGTTCAAAATGAAAGTTTGCTAAACTGAATGTCCTTATTTTACCCTGAGCTAAAGGGATTAACTTGTTAGATGAAGCTTAGAGGTTTAGGTCAGTCTTTCAAAAACTGATTTCTTTGGAAACATAAACTCCAAACCCAAAGAAATCTTGAGAAAGAACAAAGCTGGAGGCTTCATACACCCTGATTGCAACATATATTACAAACCTATAAAACAGTGTGATCTTGGCAGAAAAACAAACACACAGATCTGTGGAACAGAATAGAGAGCCCAGAAATAAATGCACACATATAGGGTCAATTAATTTATGACAAAGGAGCCAAGAATTTACAAGGGGGAAAAGACAGTCTCTCTTCAATAAATGGTGTTGGGAAATTGAACAGCCACATGTAAAAGAATGAAACTGAACCACTACCTTATACCATATACAAAAATTAACTCAAAATGGGTTAAAGACCTGAATATAAGACGTGAAACCATAAAACTCCTAGAAGAAAATATAGGCAGTATGTTCACAGATAATTTTTTAAAAATCTGACGCCAAAAGCAAAAACAAGCAAACAAACAAACAAAAAAAAGCAAAAATAAGCAAATGGGACCATGTCAAAACAAAAAGCTTCCACACAGCAAAGGAAACCATCAACAGAATTGATACCTATTGAATAGGAAACATTTTTGTAAATCATATATCTGATAAAAGGTTAATATCCAAAATATAGGAAGAACTCATACAACTCTATAGTGAAAAAACAAACAACCCAATTAAAAAGTAGGCAGTAGATATGAGTAAACTTTTTTCCAGAGAATGCATACAGATGGCCAACAGGTACATGAAAAAATGCTCTACATCATTAATCATCAGGGGAATGCAAATCAAATAAATAATGAGATATTACCTCATACTCGATAGACTGGTTATAATCGAAAGGCGTAGTAACAACTGTTGAAGAGAATGTGAACAAAAGGGAATTCTCCTACACTGTTGGTGGGATGTAAACTGGTGCAGCCACTATGGAAAACAGTATGCAGTTTCCTCAAAACATTAAAAATGAAACTACCATATGATCCAGCAATTCTACTTCCGGATATTACTCAGAAAACAAAAATACTAATTTGAAAATGTATCTTCACCCCAAGTTCATTGCAGCACTGTTTATAATAGCCAAGATATGGAAACAACTTAAGTGTTCATCAGTGAACGGATGGATGCAAAAATACACACACACACTGGGGTATTAGTCAGCCATGAAAATGAATGAAATCTTGCCTTTTTCAGCAACATGGATGGACCTTGAGGACATTGTGCTGCGTGAAACAAATCAGGTAGAGAAAGACAAATGCCATAAAATCTATTTTGTGAAATCTAAAATACGTACACGTGTGTGTGTGTGTGTGTGTGTGTGTGTATTTTTTTAACAAGAGGGAGATGGGGGTGGGAGAAATGGGTGAATCGTTTATATTTTTTATTAAATTTTAAATAAATTGAATTTAAAAAACCTGATTTGCTTTAAAAATCACTTGATGTGTTAATTTCTTTTACCTTCATCTTATGACCAGTCTATTGACAAATACACCCTCCTTGACCAAACTTTAGTCAGGTTCCTCTGAGTCACCTTTCACCTGGATCTTGACCTTGGCCTGCTGAGCTCAGTTTTTTCAGTTTAGCAAGATTCCCAACCCTTGATATTTGATCAAGATCCTCATCCCTCACCCTTAATATCTACATACTTGGTCAGCCAATAGCAAGAATCCTGTCAGGCCATTTTAGCAAGGATTCCCCCTACTCTTGATATCTCCTCTTATTAATTTTGCAACCACTGACCCCCTCCCTCTGTCCAATGTTTATAAGTCTTCAATTGTTCTCTTTGTATTTGGATCTGAGATCAGTTCTATACTGATATCTCTCTCCCCTATTGCAGTGGCCCAAATAAAATGTCTTGTATCTTTGACAAGTCTCAGGTGCAAAATTTTTCTTCTACACTGTACAGTCTTCTACTCCATCTCTGTAAGAAATTCACTGTTTTTCCTTCTACACTCATGTTTTTCTTTTCTAGGTTGAAGATATCAGAGCATGATTTTCTTATCATGTCATCTATGCAAATCCAATAGGTCACCATCTTATCAGTGGCTGGAAGACCTACAAAGTCCCCATTAAGACTGTAGGATTTTAATAAATGTACCAGAGGAAACAACTATCTAACCTTGAAAATATTTCAAAACCATTGTTATGTGTCCTGTTTTAATATTGAAAGGCAGCTGAGTAACTGTAGAATGGTGAATTCCAGACCTTTTGATTTCCTGGACCAGTAAAACAACGACAACAATAACATTAGAAAGCAGCCAATCTTTTATTTTCCCAAATAAGGACATTTAAAATCCCTTATGACCTCTGCTCTCACCTTCGTTTTTCAAAGAAAGGATATTTAAACAATATAAGGAAACAATAATATATTATCTAAGAACGAAGAATATTTCTTTTTAAGAAAAGACAGTTGACAAACTTTACTATCATTTTGCCCTCAGATCAGTGAAAATGTTGCAGATCTAAGTTTGTGTACTTTTTGTGAGGTACTAGTAAGTGACAATAAAGAGAGTGAAAATGGGTCATTTATTATTAATCATAAAATGAGTGGCTCATTCTTGGAAGAAAGAATGGCCACAAATTAGCTATCCTCTAATTCATCTTGATTATCAAGAAAAAAGACATGATTATAGCATTGTTACTTCATTTGGGATATAATTTGTAAACACCACTGGCTGGCAATTTCCCTATTTTCAGTGCTAGTTGTGCAGAAACCTTTTATCCTGAAAAATTATACTGAATACTTTTTCAGTGAAGACTTTCTCACTCAGAAAACTCTCAAATGTATCCGATATATCCACTGAAACATAAACTTCATCATAAGCAGATACCACAGAAAAAAACTAGATTATAATAGGAAAGATAATCAAATAGTAAGCTTCTTAACATAAAAAAGGGCTGTACTGTAGAACAGAGTTTTATTGGTAGATACATAATAAAATAACGTGTATCGAACAATATGCCATGTGTCAGATGCTGCGCTTTGCAAATCCACGTATTACCTCTGAGTAAACAGGTGGTGATTAGCAACGACCTCAAGAATTTAATCACTACTCTAGGGCTTTATTATCTTTGTACCTCAAAAAGCTGCTTCACAGTCTCAGCTTTATCAAGACCTCAAGAAATTATTTTGAAACTATAACGTCTTGT